AGGAGACTTTAGTTTACACACAATATTTAATGACATATATCATTTGTCCATTCATTCATTCAACACGCACTGCAAGCCTTTGTGCTCCAGATGGCCCCCTAAAATCCAGAGCAACAGAGAAACAGGGTGCCCTCCTCCAGGCCTCAGGGGAAGGGCTCTGGTAGGTAGCTGGGAGCTGGCCCTAAGGACACCTCAGGGGTACGAGGGATGCCCCGGGGATGCGCTCAGGTCCCTGCAGTCCTGGCACAGAGGGGCATCGAGGAAAGCAGGGGAGGGTGGGTTCTGCGAGTGGCTGAGACTTGAAGGCCGCACATTCCCAGGCCTCAAAGAGTCACCTTGTTCTCAGGGCTTCATGACGGTGCCCCTGGCCCAGCCACCCCCAGCAGCCATGAGCCACTCCCCTCTCAAGGCCGCTATTGACACGGACCCGACGCCACCAGGCTGGGCAGCGAGGCTGGCGGCTCCCCGCGAAGTGAGTTCCACACATTCTTCTGGGTTTCAGTCAGCCAGCTCTGGGCGATGGGGCGGCCAGCAGGCCCCAGCCAGGCCCTGGGAGCAGGATCGGGGCAGAAGGGCCAAAGAGGCCAAGGGCCAGGTTGGGGCAACATTCCAGCAGGGCCAGGACCCTCTGTCCAACCTCCTCCTTCCTGGCAGGAGCAAGATGAGGGGTAGGCCAGGGTGGGCCCTGGGAGCAAGGTGCCATGGGCTCAGCAAATCCTCAGGAAGCGCTGGGGAGCAGGGTCACGTTCACCACCTCCTCCTCCAGCCTGACCCCTCACAGCTGGGACTGGGCTGGGGCCGGGGGCAACAGGCCAGGGCTGGGAGTCCTTCCCGCACGCCCCAAGGGGTCTGAGGGTCCAGAACCCACATGTCTGGCCTCCCAGCGGCCTGTGAATCATCGTTCCAGATCTTTCCACACCCCCGGCGGCCCCTCCTGCCCTCCCTCCTGCGACTCTGGCCCCAAGGCCAGGCAGCCCTGAAGCCTCTGCAGACTCATCCTAACCCTGAGCCCCCAGGGAACAGCCAGGGGAACCGAGTGAGGGCTCCACGCAGGGCAGCTCGGCCACCGTCCTTTCCTGTGCTTCCCACCCAGGGCAGGGCCCAGCCGGGCCCACTCAGGCCTTAAAACGCCTGGATTAATTCAACTGTCTATAGGGTCTCAAACATTTAATGAGCAAATTACTCAATCAACAAACCTACAAATGAACAGGTATTGACCACCCGAGACTAGACTTTAGTGTTTCTAGGCTCCCGCCAGGGCAGGCAACCCCAGAAGGCTCTGTGGACACTGAGGCACACCCATCCTGAGGGACTGTCCCTGAAGCCAGACTCCTCTCTTCCTTGCCTGAGTGGCCCCTGCACCCACTAGGACCTGAGTTCTTACTTTCGTCAACATCAGTGACAACAGTTTTATGAACACCTCCTGCCAGCAACAAGCAAGTACACAGTAGGGAGAGCAGTGAGGAGCTTCGTGTGGCTTTGAAGCCTGGCTCCTGGTACCAACAAGTAGGCGTGTGTGAGTCCGGGGCAAGTTAGCAACCTCTCCGTGCCTCAATTTCCTCTGCTTAGAGAATGGGGACTATACTACTAGCTAGAGCTCAATGCATGCAACAGATGTACTGAGTGAGCACTTTCTGCCCACAGGTGCTGAGGTTCACAGCAACAGTGAACAAAACACAGAAGGTCCTGCTCTCGTGGACCTTAAGTTGGGGGTTAGGAGAGAGAGAAACAAGTGAACAAACACATCGCAGAGAGTGACAAGAAAAAAATAAAATAAAGTGAATGTTGGGCAGAGTAGTCGGGGACCTGAAGGAAATGAAGCCTAGAGGGTCACAGGGATATTTGGGGGGACAAGTGTTCTCGGCAGAAGGAACAGCAGATGCAAAGGCCCTAAGGTGGCAGTGTGTTTGGCACGTTCAAGAGACAAAGATGGATGTAGCTTGAGGGAGCGAGTGAGGGGAGGGATGGCAGGAGGAGAGTCAGAGGGAGCGAGGAGGTCAGGTCTTATGGGTCTGGAGGGCTCTGTGAAGTCACCGTCAGCTTGGGTCTGACTGCGAGCTACACGGGGAGGGCGGGGAGCTTCTGAGCAGGGGGCCAACATGTGGGGATTCACTGAGAAACTCCGTGCCTGGCAGGCAGCGGGCACTATCCGCTATTTTGTCATCATCTGGCCTACCACCCTAAGACCTTCCTACCCCCTGGTCTAAGCCCTGAACCCAGGTCCCTTCTGCCACCTTCCTTCCACCCGTCTCCCAGGCCGGGCCTCAGACCCACAGATCCCAACTTGCCTGCGCTCCGCCTGAGAACAGGCCTGGGCCAAGCCAGGTGGGGGCCACAACTCCCCAGACACAGGGAGCTGGGCCTAAGGCATGGGGGTGGCCCACCACTGCCCCTTCCAGCCTCCGCTGCCCTCTGTGCAGGGGCCTGCAGCCCTCCCTCCGGAAATCCCCAGGGCATGCTCATACCCCCCAGCAGCAGGTCTGGAGCAGGGGGGTTGTGGGTGGGGGGGGGGGCAGGGCAGCCAGTCCTGTCAAGGGGGAGCTGAGGTGACGCTGCCCCCGGGGGAAGGGGAGGCTCCTTGGTTTCCCCGCCCGCCTGCCCGCAGCAGCCTCCCCGGCGAGGAAACCCAGCCAAGGCAGGAAACAGGTATCTCGGAGACTTCCCTCCTCAGCCTGGAAAACACCGTCAGCCCCGCGGCCCCCTCAAGACTCCTGTCTCCTGGCAGGGCTGGCCCCAAGAAAGGAAGGGCTAAGGCCTGAGCAGGAAGAAAAGGGGTCAGCAGGCCAAGGCGGGCCCTGAGTCAGCCAGGCCGGGCCCCGACCCCTCACAAGCCTCCCCACCTCCTCTGAGCTGAAATCACTCCCACACTTAATCACAGACCACTGTTTCCTCTGTCTCCTTCCCCCAGTGAGGTCTGGAGCTCTCACCCTCCTCTTGTGTCCTACCCTCACCCACTCACTATCGGCTCGTGGACGTGAACTGAGGGGCAGAAGAGGTAAAGAGCAGTAGGCAAGGAGGAGCCCAAGGCTCGCTGGGGCCCTGGCTAAGAACGTGATGCCATTTAAAACACAACAAACTTCTTACCCCCATTTTACAGATGTGGAAACTGAGGCTCAGAGAGAGGAATTTGCCCTAGACCACACAGCTAAAAAACGGCAGAGCTGGGATTCAGAGTCAGGTCCGTGAGACTTCAGAGGCTGAGCTCTTTCCAGCCCTCTGCCATCCGCCTGGGGTCGGACAGCGAAGACCTCGGCGTGGTGGCTGAAGAGGCTCTAGAAACCCACAGGATTGGAGCTGCCTGTTCACCCGTCTGAGTTCTGGGAAAGCAGACAGGGCCTGTCCTTGCTCAGCCCCTTGCACCCGTGTCAGACGCACTGTGCACAGTAGGTGCTTGGCCAACATCTGCCCGATGAATGAACCCCTGAGCTCCCAGGGACTGTCCTGGAATGCTGCTCAGTGAAGATGTGATGAATGAACAAGTGAATGAGACGATGCTGCAATCTGGGAATTTGTGTGGAGATTCCTAGGGCACACAGCAAACAGCTCCACCCGCCTCCCCACTCCTGCCCCTGTCAAGCCCAAGCATCCAGGAACACCTCATGGGGGAGAGGGGGTCAGAGCCAGGGGAGGGTCAGGAAAGGAAGACATCCCATGTGCTAGGTTGGTGCCTCCTTTCTGGAAGAATAAAGATCAGTGTCTGGAGCTGCAAGTTCAGATCAAGACTGGAGAACAACAGATGGGCCTGCTGGATGTGCCGGGGTGAGAGACGGAGACAGAGGATTAAAGAGGCTGGGGAGTGGGGTAGGAGGGAGGTGTGGGTGGGTGGGGTGAGAGGTTAAGGGTCAGGTTGGGGTGGGGGTTAACCAGTGACTCAGGAGGGCAGAGGTGAGAGAGCCGGCAAGGCGAGGACAGGGAGTCAGTCACTGAGTAAACACTGGCCAGCCTAGAAAAGTCTCTCTTGGCTCTGAGAATTGGGGGACAGAGACAGGGGCCACCTAGGACCCCCTCAAAGCGGGTGCGGGCGGCTCTGTGGTTCACCACAGCAGGCCCAGCTCCCCAGATGTGCCCCCACCCACATCTGCCACCAGCTCCCTGCCCCGCCCTTCTGGAGTTCACTCAGGTCTCCCCAGCCTCTCCCAGCTAACTATGCTATGTTCCTCAGCAAGAGCCCGTCCAAGCTCAGAGCAGGGGGCGGGCTGTAGGCGCAGGCCTCCCCGCACCTTGAAGACCTGAGGAAGAGGAAACTGGGGAAACGGATCCACCGGGTGTCCACCATACAACAGGCCCGGCACCAGGCACTTTCCTGTACATTCCATCCAGTCCTGCCAACCCCCTCCAGCCGCGCACTGTGAGGCCATGCATTCTGAGTTCCCTCTAGGCACGTGGCTGGCCTCAGAGCAGTTAACTAGCTTGCCCCAGGTCACACAGCTACTCAGTGAAGAGCAGGAGCTGATTCAAGTCCTGGGCTGGGTGACTCCAGGGCCCGTGGGTGTCCCACACAAGCCTCGGTGTGTCTAGAACAGCTCTTTACTTGTGCCTGCTCGGCTACAAGCTCCCCAAGGGGACAGACAGCATGGGAAAGTTCCAGTGAGGATTGAGAGGGTCCCCATCACTCCTGAATGCACCTTCTCCAAGTTCGCACAGAAAGGGGTGCCCTCGCCCTGCCAAGTTCCCACCCTGCTAGAAGTTTCTCCACCGGGTCCCCAGGAATGGCAGGCCGGGCCATGCCTACCGCGACTTGGAGACTCGGCAACGTGGCCGGGTGACCCGCGGGCTCCCACGCGGGCCGGCCCCGCCCCCGGCCCCACGCAGGGTCCCGGGCGCCCCTCGGGACAGCCCCACGGCGGAGGGTGGCGCCGGCCTGTGCCAGCCCGGGGTCCCTGGCGGCGCCGCCGTCCCGGGCCAGAGTCGCAGCCGCGCAGCCTCGGCGCCCCCGCCAAGTTGGCAGGAGCGGCGAGCGGGGCCCCAGGCGCTCCCGGCCCCCCGCCCCGCACACTCACCGCGAGCAGCCGCCCGTGCAGCAGCAGCGCCAGCAGCAGCGCGCCCGCCGCCCGCCGCCCCATGGCCCGGCCCGCTCCGCTCCCTCGCTCGCTCGGCGCCCGCCCGCAGCCACCCGCTCGCCGGCCTGCCGAGTCCTCGGGACGGCACCGCCCGCTCCCGCCCGCCCAGCCCCGGGCCAGACCCCGCCCCCGGCCCGCCCCCGGCCAAGGCCCCGCCCCCGGCCGGGGCTCGAGTCCCCGAGCCAGCCGCGCCGCGGGCCGGGCCTTTGTCTGGGCCCCCAGCCCCTGCGGCGGCCGCGGGCCGGCCGGCTCCCCGCCAGATGCGGCCTGGGGCGCGCGCGGGCCGGAACCGGGGCCCTGTGCGCACACCGCCCCCGCGGCCCCCAGACCCCTGGGGCCGCTCTCACTCCCGTTCACAGCCCACGTACGTGCCTTCTCCCACGGGACCCTTCGGAGCGCCCCGCGCTCACACACGCACCTTTCACAGGCGCACCTGAGCGCGCTCACGCCCGCTTGGGCTCGCAGGAACACTCCCACACTCACAGCTCTCACGCACTAACACTCACGCGCCGCCCGTGAACACCAGGCACACGTTCACACTCTTGCACCCGCCTTTTATATACGAACAGTCTGCACGGACTCACTTTGTCTCTTCAAAACTTTCACCTCTGCAGGTGACATAGGGGACACGGCTCACACACATGCACACACAGCCGCTCACGTTCCTATTCACATTTTTACACAAATGCACATATGTGAATCCCAAGACACGGAGCGTAAGGACATGTTTCACGCACAGATGCCTGACAGGCGCTCACTGTTCACGCTCAGGCCAACATAATTTCTCTCACACAATCGCCTGTATTTTTTTTTTTTTTTTTTGAAGATCGGCACCTGAGCTAACAACTGTTGCCAATCTTTTTTTTTTTTTTTCTGCTTTATCTCCCCAAATCGCCCCCAGTACACAGTTGTATATCTTAGTTGTGGGTCCTTCTAGTTATGGCATGTGGGATGCTGCCTCAATGTGGCCTGATGAGCGGTACCATGTCCGCGCCCAAGATCCGAACCGGTGAAACCTTGGGCCGAGGCAGCGGAGCGCGGGAAGTTAACCACTTGGCCACGGGGCCGGCCCCAATCGCCTGTATTTTTTATATTTTCGCACACGCTAACAGCAGTACCTGACAATGGGCACTCAATCCTGAACAGAATTGCCCCCGACACGCACCATTTGCCGCAGAAATCACTCACAGACAACTTTGATTTACGTAAATCACAGCCTCAGTGCCAGAAACACACCAGCTTGCACACTCAGGCCCAGACACAGACTCCACCAGAGCCCCCATCACAGACGCTTGGGTGGTAAATCACATCCCAGATGACCCACGTCTGACACAGGCCCACGGACAGCACACCGGCCATGCCGCCAGCCCTCTCCGCTGCCTACACCCTCTCCTTTCTGCCTGAAAATTTCCAGGGCAGCTGAGGCTGATGGGTGGAGAGAAGACGGCTCTGTGTGCGCGCGCGTGTGTGTGTGTGTGGTGTGTGTGTGTGTAACTCAGAGGAAAACCTTCTGAGTAATGATAGAGGGAGGAGAATAAAAGCTGAAGTTTCCATTGTTTCGTTCATGAGTTGCTAGGTTCCAGAGACTCATGGCTCGGTTTGCAGCCAGGAGTGAGGTGAGCTGTGGACAGAAGGAAATGCCCAGCTATGGGTGGCACCGGGCTTGGCTCCGGAAGGCGTGTTCCCTGTGATAGGAGCCTGCGGGTTCCCCCGGGGGGGCTTACATCCAGGGAGATTGAGATAACACTGGCATCCTGACTCACATCCCAGATAGATGCCCCATCTCCAAAAGACTGGGTTCTTCTCCGCCCTGTGGGGCATATTTCGGGGGGACCAGCTCAGAGCTGGAATGGGCAGAAACTACATCATGGTGGCTCCCTCAACTTCCTGGCCCCAACCCAGATGCCAGGCACAGCACTGAATAAGGTCTGTTTCTGCTCCAGTCAGGGAGGGACACTGGATCTTGGCCCCGGGTGAAGCCCCAATCTGATGGAGGAGAGAGGGACGATAGATGGGGTCCCTGTCCTCATGTTGTCTTCAGTCTGATGGAGAATTCTGGGACCACCTCGCTGTGTCATCTTGAGCAAATCATTCAACCTCTGAATGTCTCTCGTCCTCTAGAAATGGGGAATAATGCTAAGACCTCCCTCACAGGGTTGTTATGGGGATTAAGATGAATTAGCATATTTGTTTTTCAAGAGGAGCACTTTCACGCACATAGTAAGCCCTAGCTAAGCGGTAGCCATTTCTCTCATTACTGTTTCTGGGTGAGCTCCCAGTCTGAAGAGAGAGACATAACCTTGGCCTCAGGGGGCTCCAGTCTGACGGAGGAGCAGCCTCTGCGCCCAATGTGTTGCTCTGGCCTCGTGGCCGGATCCAGCCACCGACCCACAGATCTCCAGTCTGATGGGGGCGCACAGCCTTGCACTTAGGGACTTCCTGTCAGATGCGGGAGGCTAGAACACGCTGCTGACTTCAGAGTTGGCAGGTGGCCAGCCTGGTGGCAAGATTTTTCCAAGGCCTCGCCAGTCCTTGGAGGGTCAGCCTCCGTGAGCGGCCTCAGTGTCTGTTCCCCACCTCGGGCCCTGCAAGCCCCGGAGCTTTGGCTTCTTGGATGGTTTGCTCATGAGCAAAGGGAAAAGGGGAACAAGCAACCCTTTGTAGATGTTTGGTCAAGACTAAACCCGAGCTATAAGTCTGGCTTCCTAAAAGAGGCTGGGAAAACGATGGTAAAGCTGGCTGGAGACTGGAAGGAGCGGGACGGACACGGAGAGCAGGAAAATACGGCCTGTCTAGAAAGAGTTCCAGAGTAACTCCACCCACCCTGAGGATTGCTCCTCCACCTATTTATTCTGCATCCTCTCCTTCCCACTAAGGGATTCGGCCGGCTCTGTTTTATTTTGCAGTCCTTGATATCTTTAGCAAATGTTCTCAAGTTGCTTTGTCTAGGGCCTGGCTATCTCCTCATATGGCTTAGAAGAGGAGCAGAGGCAAGGCCTTCTGGGCTTTGCTGAGCCCAGGAGGCGCCATAATCGTACTGTATGCACTCATAGCCCAGGGTGCTCGTCACACTCTTTGGGAGAGAAACAACTCGAGTCTTGCACAAGGTTCCTTAGATAAGGGGGTGCACAAGGGTTTGGATAGGCAAGAACAGCCAAACAATCTGGCTTCTGAGAAACAGGAGTTGGGGGGCTTCTGAAAGTAGCTGGAGTTTGTGGGTCACCTGTCTGCTGCTCCAAAATTGGCAGGACTCAGCTTTTCCTGTCTTCCACTCCCATTCCAAATCTTTTCTTTGCCTCGGAACTTCTCACTCATCTCACATTCCTTTTTCATTCATTCACTCAGGGCTGCAGTGGATGGTTGGGCAGGCTGTTCACTGAACAAGGATATGCAGCCAAGAGCGTGTTATATTTGCTGAGAGTGGGTACCTTTTGCTGTATGAGCAAAGGCGCTGTATGGGCTAGCTGTGGCCCTGCATTCAGTCAATAATGAAAGTAATCGCTTATTACATACAAGGGTTCCCCTGGCTGTGTGAGAAAGCAGATGCTGGCAGCTTTATCCTTACATATGTGTAAGGATATGTCCTTGGGTGAGGCAGGAAAATTGTTATGAAAGGGAGTGGGGCTGGAGGAGAGGGAACAAGGAGATGATGTTGAGAAGAGGAGGAAGAGGAGGGGGCCACGGTTCTAAGCAGGCCGAGAAAGTTCTCATGGAGAGCGAGGGGACCCTGCGAGGCCTGGGAGATGTACTCCTGCCCATTTCTGCAGCCACCTCCCTCCCCAACATGGTCTTCGCACATGCTGTTCCTTCTCCTCGAGTGCTTTTCCCAGCCAACACTTCCCCACCTTTACCCTACTCTCTTCTAGGATTCAGCTCAAACATCATGATACCGTCGAAGCCCCTTGACCTTTCAGGCCAGATCGGGTCCCTCACTATACTTTCCCACGACCTCTCTCCCCCATGCTTCTCCCCCTTAACGTTTTTGACAATTGCATTAATTTGGAAGATTATTTAATATTATGAGGCACAATGAAGGCAGCGAGGGCAACTGTCTTGTTCCCAACTACATCCCCTGTCAAGAGCCCAGTGCCCAGCAGAGCTGGCCGTTGAACAATTTTACTTGAATGAAAGAATAAATTGGTCCAAGCGTGGCATAAAGCGTAAACATCCCCCTCCTGGTTTGCACTCGGGGCGGAGAGGAGCTCCCCTCACAGTTTGATTGACATCGACTCTCGTTTGATCACTACCACAGTCTTAGGTAGGAGGCAAGTGAGTGTGTTTTTTTTACCACCCTTTTCAGACAAGAGAACTGAGGCCCAGGGGATGAAATGGCTTGTCTGGATGGTACACCGCATACGTGATGGAGCCAGGATTCACGTCCGTGTCTGTCTGACTCTAGGACCCACGTTCTCAACCATATTCAGTTCTGCCTCCTGCTGGGTTGTTCTCAACTCTGTCCAGGCAGAAGTGTGAGTCTTCTGAAAACGGCCTGGGATTTGGCACCTCTGCCTCTCCTGATGTCTCCCCACAACCCCTCATCATTGTCCATCACTTTCTTGCTGAGCTTCCACCTTGGGTCTCAGGCCCAGAGCAGGGTTCCCAAGCTGTGCCTCATGGATCACCCACCCTCTAAGATGCTCCTTGGGAAAGGGGTTCCCTGGTCAAGAAGTTTGGGAACTCCGTGCTCTTCCCCACACTTTGGCCATCCTGAAGGACAAAAACACAGGCCTCCAGTAAAGTCGCCTGTCCAACTCTGTTTATTCCAGCATTCTTCAAGATATTTGGGAATGGAACCCACTGGTTTTTATGGAAAAACCCTTTATAAATCTCACAAGGCTGGTGTTTCTCATAACACTCTTTGCAGATACGGCCCCAGAGCCTGGCTCCTGAGCTGACCATAAATGGTCTCTATAATTCGAATTTGTCACTCACGCTCCCCCACCCCCACCACTCCCCTCCAGCCCAGCTGGAATTCTTATGGCCTCCACACACCCCCTCACATTCCTGCCCACGCACCCCTGCTTCGGCTATAGGAGACTTCTCTGCAGGGCCCGTAATTGGGTCTTCCTGTGTCACTGTACCCACGTGCCTTTTACCTCACGTGATCAGTATATGCGTCCGATTTCATGTCTTGCTTTTCTCGCTTAACATTTTTTTCATAAACACAGTTCTACGTGTCAGTAAAGACCATGGCTGCTTAAAAATGGTTCTGTGGACCAGTGCGAGTCCCTGAACTACTTACTTCCAGTCTGAGACAAGATAAGAAGCTTGCTCAGGGTATAAATCTACTGTCACTAAGTCCTGTCTTTAGCTCAGCGGACACTTTTCTTCTTGAAATACTTAATCCGTTTTGGAAACAGCATACAGATTTACATTCCTGTACAAGCTCTTTATTGCAGATGGTAACCGTTAGCAATTTGTGGGCCAGCTACCTTGATAGCACTCGTATTGACTTTGCACGTCATATTTCTAATAATTATTTGGTATTGTGTCTCAGCAACACACCATCACTCATTAACCCTATCCTGCTGTTGGGTATTTGGGCTATTTCCAGGTCTTTGTTATCAAGAAAGCATTGCTGTGAATGGATAATGCGCGTCTGCGTGTTTATTTTTCCAGTTCCCTCAGTTTTTAAGAACCACAAATCTGAGGCCAGAGAGGTGAAACGGCGTCCGCAGGGTCATGAGTGGCAGAGCCGGGCCTCCCCTCCGGGCCTCCTGACCCCCGGCCCCTTGTTCCTTCCTCCAGCCTGTACTGCCCTTCCTCCTGGCCAGATTTTCCGTCGCTTTCATGCCTTTCTTCGCTAGGCTCTGAGCCTTCTGCAGTGTTCCCACATGTTGTCTTTTGGAGCTTGAGAGAAATCCTTTTGGAATGTCCTGTGCCTTCTCCCTCCGAGTTCCCGGCTTTGTTCAATTGTTCATGAGAAATTCCTGCCCTGTTGGGAGGGGCCCAGGAGGCTGTTAAAAGAGTTTGCCAAAAATGGTGTACCAACTCCGGCACAGCACGTTTGAGGCTCTTTGCCCCTCCTGAGATTTCAACTTAAAGGAGGGCAATGTGGATGCCATTGTGGGGGGTGTCCCCTGCTCCTAGCTTTGTGTCTGCTATGTAGAGCAAGCAGGACCGGCCATATGAAAGAAAGGACAGTAAGAGATAAAGTGGGCCTTTGGGATAGAGCGAGGGGTGGGGTAGGCTAAGGCTTAGACGGTGAGGTTTAGAGATGAGAAGGGCTGAGGGGTGGAGGGAGGGGCCAGAAGACGGTGAGTGTGTCTTGACCGCGTACCTTGGTCATACAGAAAGCTGTGTCTATTTTCTAGAATCATACAATAGTGATATCAAATTATCCATTTGAAAAGGGCCATATCAGGATTTTTAAACATACAAAAATCATACTAATATCATGTACTTATACCAATGTTACCAAATGATGCAGGGACCTGTGGAGTGGGCAACTGAGACCACAGATGACCTTTGAGGAAACTCTCCCTTTGTTTACTGTTTCCCGGAGAGAGCATATTCCAGGTTAACATTCCCCGGCTCAGGACCCTGCTGTTGAAGGCAGCCCAAATCTCTGGAATTAAACACTATCTTTGCTTTGTCTAAGTTACTGCATATTTTGGAGGCCAAGATTTATCCCTCTTTCTCCTGGAATCCATTCAATAAATACTAAGAAAGAAACTGTGCTGTGGATGGAAAGGGCATTGGCTGAAGGTCAGAGCCCTGGGTTGGATCTCAGCTCTGCTCCTCATCAGATGCAAGAGCTTCGGCATCTCACTTTCTCTCTCTGAGCCTCAGTTTCCCCCTCTGCAAAATAGGGCACTAAGCCTGGCAGGGAGCAGAAGGCTGAGAGCCCACATTTCAGGCCCTGGCAGTGTGCCTGGCACACCGTACGAGCGCGGAATAAGTGGTGACCTACTTCTGCAGGTGTGAAGGACTTTCCCCAGCCACCCCCAGCTGTGGGGACACCCAGGCCGCTTCTGTGCACAGACGGACAGCACAGCAGGCCGTGGCATTGTTCTGCAGCCAGGATGCTGCTTCCTGTTTACACGGACCCTGCACATGCAAGGCTTGAACGGTGGACGTGGGGGACTTCCTGTGGCCTCCACATGGCCACATGGAGCAGAGCACCTCCTCTGACTAAGAGGACGTGGGCTGAGGGACTGGCAGGAGGGATTCACGAGCACTGAGTATCTATCCTGAGGAGCAATTGGGCCAAGCACAGAGATTCTGCCCCTTCAGGGTACAATCCAGTCTCTAACCAATGGTCAAACTTCATTTGAGCACCTACTGTGTACTGGGCTCTGTAGTGACATCTACCACTCATTGAGCACCCACTGTGTGCATTTGCAGGGCTCCTGTTACTTGCAAGATGTCGTAATCATGAAGGTAATTATTATTAGTGAGCACCTACTCTGCATATAGTACTCTATAATGTGCTCTCTATATAAGTATATTATATATATATAATGTACTACATATATATAACATATGTACTCTGTAATGACGCCAACCCTTCTTTGAAGAGCTGCTGTATTCTAGGCACTGTAACCATCTTTAACATAATCATTTATACCTGACCTCTCTGTGCCTCAGTTTCCTTATCTGTACAATAGGGACAATAGTGCCTTTCTTAAAGGATTGCTGCAAGGACGACATAAGTTAATACATACAAAGTGCTTAAAACCATGCCTGGCATACAGTTAAGAGCTTAATAAATATTGGCTGTCATCATTAATATTAATAGTTATTGAACACGTGTTGCATGTGAGATATTGTAATTATTCTTAAGGTAATAGTAATTATTAAGGTAATAGTAATAACCATTACTGAGCACTTATTGGGCACAAGGCCCCGGAATCAGCCTCAATGTAACAATTGAGCCCCTTTTGTGAGCCAGACCTGGCCTGGATACTGGACACCTCAAGAGTAGTGTCCTAGGCACGGGTCTTACACTCTGATTAGGGGAAATTGGACCATTTTGGAGGTGGGCATCTCCAGGAGAGTTAGAGATGGCTCCTATGCAAATATGGACCTCGAGCAGGAATACAAAGGCTTTAGTAGCCTGAGAGAGTGTTTGGGAATCAGGATGCTCTTTTTTGTGAGGAAGATTGTCACTGAGCCAACATCTGTGCCCATCTTTCTCTGTTTTATGTGGGATGCTGCCACGGCACGGCTTGACAAGTGGTGTGTGGGTCCGCGCCTGGGATCTGAACCTATGAACCTGGACCGCTGAAGCAGAGGGCATGAACTTAACTACTCTGCCACCGGGCCAGCCCCAGGACACTCTTGAATTATGTCTTGAGCTGGGTCCAAATGGATTCTAGGGGCCGGCCCTGTGGCTGAGTGGATAAGTTCATGCTCTCTGCTTCGGCGGCCCAGGGTTTTGACAGTTTGAATCCTGGGCACAGACATGTCACCACTCATCAAGCCATGCTGAGGCAACATCCCACATGCCACAACTAGAAGGACCCACAACTAAAAATACACAACTATGTACCAGTGGGCTTTGGGAGAAAAAGGAAAAAAAAAAAAATCTTTAAAAAAAAATGGATTCTAACAAGCTGTATTCCTGCGACTGTTCACCTCGGGAATGGGTCACTGGGGAGCTGAGGACCCATTAGACAAAGGCCAAAGTCTTCTCCCTGGGGAGGAAAGGGATGCAAAAGACAGAGAGAGGAGTGTGCTGCACTGCTGAGCTTTGGCTCCGGGGGGATCTCCCTCATCCTCCAGAGGTAGACTAGAAGTGGGGGTGAATTCAATGGACTAGGGGTTCGATGCCCCCTTCCTTCCTCCTCCCCTGGGACCACCATGGCAATCTCAGGGCAGGGATGTTCAGGCTCTGCTTGGCCACAGGGCTAGGCCACTGCAGGCCACCTCCTCCAAGAGCCATGGAACCTTGTAGACCTCCACGTTCTGCATTATTTCAAGGTCAGCCCCGTTCCAAACTCTGAGCTGCTATTGGCCTCGTATTTCCAAGGAGACAGGAGAGCTCCAGCAGGAAGGGGCTGAGACTAAAGTTCAGAGCCTCCCAGAAATAAGCCCGGAGGCCTGAGATGGCCTTTGGGCAGCCTGGACAGACAGCTGAGGACTCAGAGGGCCTGAGTTCTTGGCAGGAGGAACACTCAATTCTCAGCTCAGGAAGCCCCAGGCCTGGCTTGGGACGAGGAGGAGAGAACCAGAAATACCAGAGTCTGGGGGCCCTTAGAGATCCTCAAAGCTGCCCCACTCATGTTGAGAAGGGAAAACAGAGGCCTGGAGAGAGGAAGTGATGTCCCCAAGGTCTCAAGGCAGGCTAGTGGCAGGACTAGTCTGGACTCCGACCTCCAGAGCCCTTTAGACAGCAGGAGAGAGGATATAGCTGGGGGCCTCGTGGGGCCTGATTTCTCAGCATCCCAATCAGTTGAGCCTCTGAAGTTCTGGAACCCTTGTTGGCCCAGGGGACATTTTTCCAGACAGTCCCCGCAAGGAATTCAGGACCACCTTATTCTGAGCCTTCCAGTCCTCACCTGGCGTGAACAGAACCACCCTCTTCAGAGGGTGCCCAGGGAGGGCTGTCCCCCTACTTGCAGCTAACTCCTGGTCACCTGTTCCAACGCACCTCACATTAGCCATCATACAGTTTTTCTACGTCCACCCTAGGCCTGGCCATTAAAACCGCATCCTTAAAAGAATAGATAGATATCAAGCACTGAGACCAGGGCCAGCCACACAGTACCTTGCTCTGCAAGGGTTTGCTATCATCATCATCATCATCATTACTTCTGCCTTACGTGGGGCTGTGCTAAAATCAACAATCCTGAAAAAAAAAAGAGTAGGGATAGGGATCAGGAATGAACAGCCAGTCTATCTCTTCACGTGTGGAAACCGAGGCTAAGGCGGGCTGGGAACCTCCTCAGTGGTGCATTCAGGATGTAAATTGCAGGTTCCAAACTGAGACCCATGGGTTCACATGAGGCCTACAAGTATTTTTGTTCAACCCACAGAGCACCATGACATTTTTTAATTTGTTACTGACATACAAAAATCAGATTCCTGGCTTCTCTTGAAAAGGCAACAATCCATCTGAGAGCTGGGTATCGACCTCTCCACTCAGCCACAGTCTCCACCACTCCCTACTCTCACCCAGCCCGATTCACCCATTAACTTTTGTCTGCCCGACCCCATATATCCTCAAGTTTATAATCCCCAATCTAAACGGTCGTTTCCCCTCAATGGGGCCTTGGAAGGAGCATTTTGCCAGCGACAATTTATTTTCCAAAACTGCAGCCTGATGGACACATGCCCATTTCACAGTTGGTGTCGATGTCACCACCAGCTACAGGGTTTGGAGATGGGCTCAGGGGCGCTCCAGCCCGAGCGGATTGCTTCCCAGAACTTAGGCAGACGACCTAAGGAAAAGATCCCGTTGCCAAACAAAGGGAGTTCTGGCAACTTTATCCCTGGCCTCTGTGACAGCATGGGAGTGATTTTCCGGCTATATAGCCGGCGTGGGCAACTCGTGTTGACAGAGTCATCCACACACTGCAAAGCATTGACATCCCCAGCGGACGGCACCAAGCACGTGCTGGTGCAGGACTTGTCAGAGGTGGCCATGCTGGTGTAGGGGTGGGAGTAACTGCGGGGGCAGGAGTGGTCTTCAGGGTCCGGGCGGATGGAGTTGGCAGCGTGTTGCAGGTAGTTGGCGGCGAGCCTCGGCAGGCTCAGAGACGACTTGGTGCAGTTGGTGTAGAAGGCATTGGTGGATCTGTCGAGGTAGTTGATGCCTTTGATGAGGTGGTCCAGGAAAGTGGGGCTAGAGGGCCTCGCTGGACGATCTGTGCAGAGCAGGCAGTGGGGGCCACCACAGCAAGCGAGCTTTCTGGCCACCTTGCAGCCAGTGGCCAGGTGGCTCGTCTCTACACACTTGGAGTTGTAGGGCTGGCCCATGCAGATTCTCCTCACCGGAAGTCTAGGGGATCTGGGGTTGTCGGACTGCTCCGAAGGGTTGCTGCAGCTGCTGACTTCCGAGCCGCTCGGCGTGCGGGGGCGCTTGAGGGACGTGGCCCCGGTCACATTAGGGTAGTGGGACCAGCTTGGATTCCGGGCTGGAAAGGACACGTTGTTGGGATGGTTCAAGCAGCTGTAAGTGCTGGAATGGCCCACCGGGCGTCCAGACATGATCCCAGCTGGGTGGATTAGGCTTCGTGGTCCTGAACTGCCAGGAAATCACCTGGAGGCTGGTCACCTGGGCCTGGCGAGGAGAGAGTAGGGTCAGCTCTCCTCAGCTCCTTTAGCTCTCCACACCTCCCTCCAGGCTTCCTCTCCAGGTGTTCCCTCTGCCTCCAGAGGGCCAAGACCACCCTTCTTCCTCTCCCCATCCTCCTCCTAGGCCCAGGGAGTTTTAAACTGGAAAGTTGACACCCTATTTTTCAGAAAGCACAAAGGGCAAGACCTTGTGCCCTTTGTTGGGAAGGTAAGACCCTGAGAATGACTGAGGCCAGAGGACCCCCTTGAACAAGTGGGGCAGTCTCCTTTTTCCTTTGGCTCTAGCTCACATTCTGAAATTCCCATTTGCCTTTTCTTTTTTTTTCTTTTTTTTTTGAGGAAGATTAGCCCTGAGCTAACATCTGCTGCTAATCCTCCTCTTTTTGCTGAGGAAGACTGGCCCTGAGCTAACATCCGTGCCCATCTTCCTCTACTTTATATGTGGGACACCTTCCGACGCATGGCTTGCCAAGCGGTGCCATGTCCGCTCCCGGGATGTGAACCGGCGAACCGTGCCGAAGCGGAACGTTCGCACTTAACCACTGCACCACCGGGCGGCCCCCCATTTGCCTTTTAAGCAGGAACTCCAAAAGACCACAAAGGCCAGGACTGAATCTCTAATGATGAAATTCCAGGCACTGAGACAGACCTTCTTTGGAGGTACTATCAAATAGACATCATCGACCACACAAGGCACCCTGATATGAAAAAATGTGTCTTAGAAGCAATGCAATACTAGATGCACCCTCTCTGTGTCTGGCCCTTTGCTTGAGTAAGTAACTCTCACTCCAAATCAAAGAGTTAGTTATTATTCTATTCCTAGTTGACAGATGGGGAAACTGAGGCTCAGAGAGATGATGTGACTCAGATCAACAGCTTGTAAGTGATGGGGCCGAGATACTATCTTGGGTGTTTCTGACAACCCCTGAAAGACAATGCTATGTTGTCGGGGTGACTTTGGCCCCCCTCACAGTCACTAAGGAAGAATTCTCACCACACCTGTTCTGCCTGCCTGGATGGGGGCACTGATGGGGACAACCAGAGGGAGAGGGGCCTTGCTAACCCTGTAACTAAGTTGATCCTGACTTTAGGAGCCCCAAATGAGGAGCAGCAGGTGGTATGACAAGTGTACTAATGGGGCTGGGTTGTGAGATCAGAACCTTCTGGAGTATTTGGTCTTGATCTTCTCTGACAGTAGGGGATCTCCCCATCCACCCCACAAGAGGAGGGGGCATTGGGATTCCTACATCTCCTGGTCCAAAAGCCGGTACTTCACAGGGACTAAATCCTGAGCAGGCCAAAGAGATGCCCAGTCCCTTTAAACCCACCTCCTGTCCCTGGACTGCCTGGACCCAGCCAAGGGCAGTGTAGTTCCCCCCCCCCATCCCCATTGTGCCTTGGTTCCCCAGTACTCCCCCCGCACCAGAAGGAAGGCTCTGATTTCTCTCCCCTACTACCACCGGCTTGATGCTCATTTTCCACTTCTGCCTGGTGAGAACAGAGCAGAATTTGAGCCTGTCTCACCCAGAAAACAGCTGCCTGCCCCTCTCCCAGCCCACGGCCCCTCAGCTGCCCTTGTCCTTTGGGTCTGAATCCCGTGGAATGTCCAGACCCTTGTCTCTTCCCTCCCTGGTCCACCCCACCCCATCTCCTCCTGCGGAAATCCAGGAGGGACCTGGGGACTGACCCTCTTAGGGCCCTCCCGCCCTTCCTGGCTGGGCCCCATCCGCCACAAGGGCCCTCTCCCACCCTCACTCTGTCTTTGGGAGGCAGGTGACTGACTTAGCCCTCCTCTTGCTCTCCACTGGGGACACCCTCATGTCACCACTCCAGACTGCTGGCCATGTCATAGAATCATGGAATCCTAGAGCTGGGAGGGGCCTCCAGGGGTCACCCTGGTCAGGCCCCTGCCTCAGGGCCAGCGCCACTTTAAGCCCTCCAGGACAGATGGGCCCTATTTTTAAAACGAGGCTGGGGTGGACGTTTCCCAGTGTTCCCTGCTGTTTTTCTAGCGTTTAATTATGCTCAGAGTCAGGGAGTTCTATGCCGGGTGTAATAGAAACCCCCGCTGGCTGGGGTCAGCATCAGTTCCTTCTCTTTTCTCAGTGGGTCATCAATCGCTTATCAGGTCCCTGTGCAGTGCTGTCCCTCTGAGGGACCCATTCTTGGGCACAACAGCACTGTCTTTCCTCCTTCCTCACCTCTTCCTCGAGCAGCCGACAGCCTGGTGTCGAGCCCCTAGGATGTGGTGGGCTCTGGCCAGAGCCTGAGGGTTCTTCAGGGAGCAAATCTCAGAGCTCCTTTCAGACCCCGTGCCTCTCGCTTGGACCCGGTCCACAGGGGGCATCCGCTGCGTGTTTGTTGAATGAATGAACAAAATCCCCCTTTGCGGTCTCCTGGTATTTGCCAGGAAAAGCCTCCCTCTGTCATTTCCTTCTCGTAAATATCGGAAAAAAAAAAAAAAATATATATATATATATATATATAGGGGCCAGTCCTGTGGGTGAGCAGTTAAGTCCGTGCTCCGCTGCGGTGGCCCAGGATTTCGCCGGTTCGGATCCTGGGTGCAGACATGGCACTGCTCGTCAGGCCATGTTGAGGCGGCGTCCCACATGCCACAACTAGAAGGACCCACCACTAAAAATACACAACTATGTACTGGGGGGATTTGGGGAGATAAAGCAGGAAAGAAAAAAAGAAAAGAATGGCAACAGTTGTTAGCTCAGGTGCCGATCTTAAAAAAAAAAAGAAAAAAAATAGTTTTACTTTTTATTTTGAAAAATTTCCAGACTTACAGACACTTACAAGATAATGAAGTCCCACATAGCCTTCATCCAAATCCACTAGTTATTAACACTTTGCCACATTTATCACCACACGCACACACACACACGCAGTATTTTGAGAGTAAGTTGCAGACGACAGTGACTGCAAAGCCTTTATGTCCTGCACGCTGGGAGAATGGGGGCGTTTTCTTATGCATCCACGCTCCCGTTACCAGATGCAGGATGTTTAACAGCGGTACGGCACTGTTATCAAACACACAGGCCATGTTCAAGTTTCGCCGATGGTCCCTCCCGCGTTCTCTGTGGCAATGACTTCTCCAGTCCAGCATCCGATCCAGGACCAGGCATTGTCTCCATTTCTCAAGTCTCTTTGGTTTCCTCTAACCTGGAAGTTTCTCAGTCTTTCTTTGTCTTTTATGACATTAACATTCTTGAAATGTGCAGGCAAGTTGTTTTGGAGAATGTTCTCCAGTTTGGATTTATCTGAAATTTCCTAGCGATCAGATCCAGGATTACAAAGCACTTTAACAGAAACCTCGGTGTGGGCCCTCCCCAGCCCACGATCACGGAGAACGAAGGGCCTTTTGCCCTGTGGGGGGATGGGTGGTGATAGCTGCTGAAACGGGGAGCCAGGAGGAGGGATCAGGGGCCCCCCGAGTGGGAGGAAGAGCGTGAGGGGACTCAGGGGACCAGGGAAGCAGTGTCAACAGTTCCCTTGTGGGGCCTCAGCCAGGCCTGGTTCTGCTCTGGGCCGGGGGCCGGGCAGGCGGGCAGGAGGCCAGCAAGAGGGCTGGGCGTCCTTGCTGTTTGTCCTGAAGGTACCCAGGCGTCGAGATCACTGGCTGTTTCTGGCCTGGGCACTAAGAGCCTCTGGAAATAGCTCTAGGACAATTATTTCAGGAGGAATGTGCTGTTCCTCCATCTCCTCAGAAAGTCAGGCTGTGTCCCATCATATGAGGAACGTCCCTCTCCGGCCTCCCCACCTTCAGGGAATCTCTAGGCCCTCTGCGGGCCACAGATGCCTTCCGAACCAGAAGGGCTGGGAGCCCAGAGTGGGGCCGAGGAGACTGAAAGCCCCCTTCTCCGCTGGGGGAGGGGTGGTTCTGTCCTTACATCCTGGGCTCTCAGGGCCCAGCCTGGAAATGGGCCTGGCGGCTGGGGTCCAGCTGACTCCAAGCCCGGGCACACACGAAGGGGAGGGTGGGGGAAGCTGCCTGCCCCACCTCTTGCCCAGACCCATCCCTGAGAAACTGATATGGGAGTGGCACCTACTATGTGCCAGAGAATCTGACATTGTTGGTGCCAGGCCCTTTGCATCCTCCTTCTTATTTAGTCCTCACAGTGCCCCTAAGAGGTAAGTATTTTGTTTTCCAGCTGAGGTAACTGAGGCTCAGAGAGGGCAAGAGACTTATCCAAGCTCGCCCAGCCTCCAGAATTAGAACCCAGTAGTCTGGCTCCAGAGCCTACAAGCTTAAGCACTAAGTGAGGAAGAGGGTGGGCCACCCCTCTCGGTGGGGACTCAGTAAGTGACCCTGTGAACTGAGCAGCGTTGGGAGGGGTCCAGGCTGGAGACAAGCTGGAAGGCGGCTGTAGCCCCACCCCCCAATGAGCCCCCATCTTCCACCACCCAGCCAAGCCCAGCTGCCTCTCGCTCCCTAGCACCACGAGGGTGGATGCCGGGGTCTCAGAAGATCCTGGGTAGGTGGGGTGCCCCCGCCCCCCGCACAGTCTCCAGCCACAGTGCCCCCACCCTTGCCCCACCCGGACCACATCCAACCTTGGCCCCTTAGCCTCATTGCCAAACCAGCTGCAAATCCCGGGCTTTCCACCAGCCCTTGCCCCTCAGCCTCTCTCCCCTCTCCCTTTACTCCCCCTCCCCGCAGTCCTATCCACATCCTGGTCCCCTCCTGAGCCCCACCAAGACCACCACGAGCGCTTTCCCTACATCAGACTTGAGGAGTTCAAGGGCATCTCAGTCCCGTGGGCTCCCCAGAATGGAGGGAACAGCCCCTGTCTCCAGAGAGAGACCTTAGGACTCTGCCCCATTAGCACATATGCTGCTCATTAACCCCTCACAGGCCACTGGGCAGTTTCTCCCCTCCCCCAGGGCCTAGATGGTAGGAGTGACCCCTTGTCCTTTCAGCCACGTGGCTCTTGGAAGCATCACAGATAAGAAGCAAGCCCAGCTCAGCAGCCGCAAGTGTGAGACATACATGTCAGTCTGGGGGGCAGCTAGCACCAAGAGCCATGAAACTTTCGGCTGTCTCACTCTGCCTGGAGGACATATGTGCTCAGCCTCAGGGACTATCAGCGGGGTGACTCACCTGAGCCCGTACAGGGCCTGGGGCCAGCCTGCCTGCAGGGCTGAAAATCTCTCCTGGGCTGGGTTCTGGCCCTCCCCGGTTGTAGCCTTCCCTCCCGAGCACAATGAGTCACCCAGCTCCGACACCCTGAAGGATTAGGCCCTTGGCTCGCCAGCTGCCAAAACAGTGCTTCCCCAAGCCCACGTGTGGCAGGTACAAGCCAGGACAGATCTGAGCTTCGGAGCACTGGGGCAGGTGTGGCTTGGCAGGGGATCCAGCCAGCAAGAACTTCCCTCCTGCCAAGCTACCTCAGGGCTTTTGGGGTAAAGCGGGCAATCTGGGAGGGGACGTGGCCTGGGAAATTCCCGCCATGGCAGGGTGGGGACGATGGTCACATGTGACCTTTGCTGAGAGAAGACAGGGGAAGCAGGACAGCAAGGAGCTGGCTTGTGCTGTGACCTTGGGTAAGTGGTTGAACTTCTCCAAAGCTCAATCTCCTTTTCTGTCTAATGGGGGTAAGGAGGGTGCCCCTCGGACACTGTTGACTTGGCTGGCGTGCAGTAACAGCTGGCGTTGGTGCATGCCCCGGGCTGTGGGCACAGTGGAGCTGGAGGTCTGTGCTAGAGCCAGCTTGCACTGGCTCACAAGAGCCAACGGTTCAATGTTCTGGAATTCAGTGAACTGGCTATTAAACCATGGGTAGCTTGCAATCAGCCACGGTGGGAATATTTACACCAGGGGAATTGACCAATGTGACAAACCAGGCTTTTTTTTTTTTTCTTTTTTGAGACCTGGTTCACCAGCATGCCCTGAAAGCCATGTGGCCGGCCAAGGGACTTCACCTCTTTGGACCTCTGTTTCCTCACCCATAAAACCTCAGTAATAACGGCCTGTGCACACTGAATGGCCTATATGTATGGGACTGCGTCCCAGCTGCTGTGTGTGTGGCTGGATGTAATTTCCTGCGTCAACTTGACAGGGCCTCAGGATGCCTGGGTATCTGATTAAACACCATTTCTGGGTGTGTCTGTGTGTTGCTGAAGAGATTGGCATTTGTTGCTTGCCTTTTTTTAAAGCTTGGCGCCTGAGCTAACATCTGCTGCTAATCTTTTTTTTCTTCATCTTTTTCTCCCCAAAATTCCCCAGTACGCAGTTGTATATTTTAGTTGTGAGTGCCTCTGGTTGTGCCGTGTGGGACACCACCTCAGCATGGCCTGATGAATGGTGCTGGGTCCTCACCCAGGATCCGAACCGGGGAAACCCTGGGCCGCCAAAGCTAAGCGCGTGAACTTAACCACTCGGCCACGGGCTCGGCCCCTCTTGTTGGTTCTATTTCTCTGGAGAACCCTGACTACCACCGTGTGCCACGTGCTTTCTATGCATTAACTTGTTTATTCCTCATCACAACCTTATGAGGTAGATGTTAATAGCATCCCCATTTTTCAGAGAAGAAACTAAAGGGCAGAGGTGAAGTCACTCACCTGAAGGAAGACGGCCAAGATACAAACCCAAGCAACCTGGCTCAGGTCTGCCCTCCAACCGCTGCACCTGCCACCTCGAGGATGATCATTGCAGTTGCCATTTATTAAGCATTTTCTGAGTGGAGGTGCTGTGCCAAGGATTTTCCATGTACAATTGGTGCACCCCAAAGCCTCAGCCTTCTGAAGTAGCTTTTCTTTTTCTTTTTTTTTTTTTTTTGAGGAAGATTAGCCCTGAGCT